TAGAAGAAAGAGAAAGTATTAAATATTTATTATTAAAAAAACTATGTATAAAGAAAATGATATTTGAGTGTTAATGTAATCAAGACAAAGTCGACAATATGATATAGTAAAAAATAATATACATTTTTTATAAGCTAAGGCTTCGTTCGCACTGGAATTATATCCCCTCTCTGTGAAGCTATCAAAGCTATTAGAGCTAACAGTCAAGTCGAAAATTAAAAACACAACTGGAATATATTTTGCCAATTTCATCATATACATTGTTATAAGACACTAAAAATACTAATATAATACTGCCTTATGAAATTTGTACAATCATAAAAAAACAAAAGAGTATTTATATTTTATAGTAATGAAAAAATATATATTTTCATGATAATATATCTATATTATTTAATTCGATTTTTATCAAATGTTCGCGGTTTAACTGTAATATAATTTAACTTTGAACGCATTCCACGTGTGATCTTGATATCGCTGCAAATTGTTTCCACGGATCCCGTCGAGCCATTCACTTATCTGATGGGACACCTTCCCATACCTAATTGAGATTTGTTGAGCTTTAAAATTATTTCACATAACATTTATATCTAACATTTTATTTTAAAACTGATACTCTTCTTTGAATACTTACTCAATATACACATATTTCCGTAATAAACTAAAATGATTTTTCAAAATATGACGTAGATTTACTATGTTTAGGAATCATCTTCTTAAGGTGCCTCTCCGGCTAGCGAAGGTTGGCAGTCAGCTCTCCATGCTTTTCTCTGTCTTCGACTTTTCCATGTAAAACTAGGGAATATAAAGTTATGCAGTGTTAAAAAATAACGGATTTATTCATTATTATACCTATATCACCATATAAATCAAGTTCTCCAATATAAAGATAAATAGTTAACCTATTTCTTACCATCAACAATAATAGTATTATTTTCGATCTGCCGTCAGGGGCTCGTTACAGACGTATCCATACGGGACTCGATCCAACGATAACCATCGCTACAAGCACCCTCTTTGTTCAGGGCTGTCAGCTAACACATTTAGAATTTGTACATATTTTTCATAAATATTATAGGAAAAGTGAATAAATAGTATTTGTTCAGGGCTGTCAGCTATCACATATTTAGAATTAGCACCTATTTATCATGAAAATAGTATAATAAAAATAAAGAAATCATATGTTTTCAAGGTAATTTAAGAATTGTCAGTTAAGACGTATGTGGATGTAGTTTTCTTTATAAAAGTGTCTGCCTGGTTTATAATATTCTACTATGAATATAATAATATTTCTCATAAGAGTCTTGATACGTTACTTTATTTTATAATATGAAGATATAAAAACGAAAGATTCAAAAGAGACTAACAATCTCGATTTATGAGTAAGAAAAATGCAAATATTAATTGTGTAACCATTATCATCGGTACATCTCATCTAAATCAAATCATTTTTCTATTTGTGTTTTAAAATAATCATTTCTATTCATGACGTTGATAAAATATTAATTGAAGTACTAAAATGTTACGAGCAGTAAATTACTATATTACTGGGAATAAGTAATAGTTTTTTGACACAATTCAATATCAACAACAAAATAAACATATTTTATTTGTAATCTATTAATATAGATTTTATGAACTTTGAAATATAACATAGAAAAATATGTACACAACTTTTCAAACAACACTAGTCATATATACGTACTTTTTGCTTTTACAAGTATCAGAATATTATTTTTTCTATTATTTTTTTCTTTACTATCGCCAACCTTATACGTCATACTAGAGGGGTTCGCCCCGCTGTTACAATGCACCTCGCTCGGTACCATTACCCCACTTACTTTAACTATTGCGATATTGATTTTAAACTCACATGTTGCTCGTGCTCTCCTTTTTTAATTTGGTATTTTAATCGTATATTTTAGTGGAATAATTATAACCTTACATTGTTATGAAAAAAGCTATATATTTATAGTTTTAATTCAAACTATTCTACGGGCGTGAATGTGAATAAATATTCATATGTACAAAAAAGACGTGTTATATCGAAACTTCGTTAAATTAAATTAAGGAATATTTTTATATAATAAACATTATTTTCTAAACTTCATCATTATTATCAAAAAACCCAACGAACAAATTTAATATGTAAAAATCAGGTCTTCCAACCTAAAGAGTCAAAGAGTTCTGACAATACTCATATCAATTTGTGATTTTTTGAAAGATACACTATAAAAATAGTCGAATTTTTCGCTGTATATATTAAAAAAAAATTCTTAAAAGAAAATATTATTTATCAAAAGATTTGCTCCAAATGATCTTATATTTATCGATCATTACTGAAGCTGTAACAAAATTAAATCTCAGCTCCAAATCAAAAACCCTAGAATATAATATTATTGGAAAGATTACATAAGTTATATTATCACTGCATTATTTATTCCTATTAATAAATTCAATTGCCTTAAATTTAACATTTGTGAAATTTTATAGCAAAATACATTTATTTTTACACACAATTCTTTCGTCTGCTATGATTATAAAATTTTGAACGTCATCAATTTCCTATTTGATAAATATATTTTTGCATATAAAAAGTACTATATTTTAAACATAAAAAAATAATTGAATATTTTTTTTTTTAATTCCAGTTTCTACATGACAAATTTGTTCAAAGTAATGAATTGGAATAATCCTACGTAATATTTATTTTTCAAATGCAATCTTGCTAAAATTTTCAATAGCTTCCAATATTAAGCTACAAAATATTACGTTTCTTCTCTTTAAAATAAATATTTAAGTAAACTTATTTTAATTCATCTTTAAATACGTAATCAAGACTTAAAAGCTGAAAATTTCAACATAGGGCTTTGGATTATATTTCATTATTTAAAAAATCTTCCAATTGTTATTTGTATGCTACTTTTTCATTGAAACACCCTACAGTTGACAAAACATTCGTCAGATTGTAAGGTTATCAAAGAAGCACAGTTCAGTTATCAAAGGTCGTCAGCTGTTTAAAGTTAAAAACTTAAGTTTTCGCTAAAGCCATTAAACGCGAAACTCAATTTAGGGCCGAGATCAAACTGAAAGTGTATTTATCTTGGGAGTCGATTTAAAAGCTGAATCACGCAAGCACACGACGCCATTATCGCGAAATAGCGATCCTCAGGCCGCGCCAACTCTATGAATCTAATCCACAGGATTTAGCCACTGATTTACAGCCGAACCCAGCCAACGAGGGCGCGACTGCTTGAAAGAAAAGTGATAATGTCTTAATCCTACCACACTCGAATTTTCTCCCTCCAATTTTATGGTCGCTCGCCCAGACGGCACGTTTTGATTTATGATTTCAATAATTAAGAATTCTAAGGTGCAATTTGAATTTGAGCTGCGATGTGGGGGCCTGCGGGAGGCCGAGACTGTTTGTTATTGCCTCAGGGCGAGAAAGGGTCGCAGTCCGCGAGTCCCATAGCTTACCTTTCATTTTCCAAGGAATTATAATAGAGTTTAAGAAATTATGACGTCTTATTCATTCTAATATTCATATATTTAAGCTCGAGAAGCACTGAAATGTCTTCTATACTTTATTGTTCAAATAAGGAATAATTGACAATATTTCTATATTCGTTTAAATTATAATGGATATATTCTTACATAAGCTTATTTCTAATACACGAAACAGAACAAAACTAATATTACCAACCTGATATTATTTAATAATAACGCAGTGTGATATACGTACGGGTAGAAAGCGTTTACGTCTTGGAATCTCGTCGTAATCCTGTTCGTAATATAACCCGTTGGGTTTCCTTATATCGCGCCCTAATCTCAGGGCATTACAATTAACGCGGCCCGAGATAACCCAACACTCGCCGCCCGTTGATAAAGGATTCTACTTGTACTAGTTTAAACTGGTTAAGCATCCACCCTCAGGGTTCATCTAATTACCCTACACTAACACACGCGTTTTCAGTAACGCACATTATCGCGTTACGGTATACCGTGTTCGATATTAAATCAGTTCACGTTTTGGGAAATCTCGGGCAAGTTGTTCGGCTGGGGTACGTCACGTACGTAAATGTTTGCCGGATCCGTTGTATTGGTATTTGGGCCTTCCGCCGGCCACCCCACTTCAAACGTCAAGGGCCATTGATTCGTACAGCTATTATATTGTAATGCAGGCATATATTGCACTAGTTTCTAACATAAAATTGTTTTTCAATAAAAAATATATTTGTTAGGATTAACATAAAGTCACGATTTATTCTGACGTTTTTTGTTTGCCCATATACAAATAAATGTGCTATTCAACAGTTTTTTAGTTTTATTTTTTATGAATATTCACATAAAGTTTAAAAAAATATTATTACCACCAAAAACATAACTATGGTAGATATGTGGATACCCAGATGAGATATATAACCTCATCAATTCTATATTTAAATATAAGTCATAAAGTTTGATCTCTGTCATTAAGCGTCAAAAAAACTTTTAATAAAACTTTAAAACTTAGTAACGAGTCTGTTACATGCTTCCTAAAATAGTGATAAGATATAAATGCGTGGTGCGTTCTTACAAACAATTCAACTAAAATGTTATACCTTCGCAGTTTTAAATATTGTCTCGTTATCGTATCCTGTTAACTTCAAGCAGCAAAACAAAAATTATTAATCTCTTAATATTCATGTGTAGAAATGTTGCTAATACCTGTTTTAATGTATTTTCCTCTCTAAACATGGCTTTACTAAACTTTAATTGGTCTGAAAGCTCTTGAGTGAAATGGTTTTTACGTGGGAACGATTTTTGTGCATTTTAAAACAATTTTTAAGTGTTACAAATGTGTTGACGTCGAAGGGAATCGCCGAGAATCATTTCCGCGTAAAAATATTGTGGTTGTGGATGAGAAATCGAATCGCAAGTACCTTCACCCCTTTTTATTAATGTTTTATTGTATTTCTGTTGCGACGAAAAGAGACTGATGGAACTGTTTGTTCCAGGACGGTGCAGCACAATAGTCACACAACGTTGTCGCAAATTAATAAAAGACGTTTGGAATTTGGAGTTGATATAGAAACATTCAGAGTGAACGATCGAAGACAAGATCATAGTGACAGTGAGGCCTCAATGGACGAAGAAGCGGCGAAACGGCGACGACGACTCCTTACAGAAGAGAGAAGAGAAGAAACAGATTCATACTATAGAAATTATAACACACACCGAACTAACATCCTACGTCACTCCGACGAGGATGATGATTCACTCGTTCAAAAAACTCAAAACGCTCTAAAAACATTGAGTTGCTGGGCACGAGACCACGCCGCTATCCCGAACGATCAAAGCGAAGACGCTAACGACTTCGATAACATTTTTAACGATAAACGTTCCGACAAAATGTTGCCATCCTCACCATCTTTATCTTCTGACAGTGCTGACAACTCACGGCGAAGCTTCTCTATGCATTGCCAGAATGACGAAATAAACGCTGCCATGAACGAAAGGATGGATCCCAGGGAAAATACTGAACGGCCACCGAAAATGGAAAATGACAACAGTATGGACAATTACAAGATGGACAAAAGTCCTAATCCCTATGACGCTTCTAACTTCGATGAATTAGCGGATTCCTCTTCAAACGAACTAGAAATAGACATGTCAGACAGAAACGAAGACAAATACGAAGAGGACAGAGAAGCGAAACGTAGGAAAGCTGAAATAATATCAGTTAACAAGCAATCTCTTTACAACGCTTACAAAGCTGCCACAGCGTCTTTACCATATTCGACCCAATCCGCGTTCAAACCACCAGCTGAAGTGAAACACAAGATCCACGGCTCCACTTTTCCCAGTGAGCCATTCGGTGGCTATTCTAATGATCACGAGAAGAGTTCGATTCATAAGGGTTCGAAGCAGTACACGGTGCTGCAGCCGGCCGCTGCTGGTTCAAGGGCTGCTACAGCGTTGCAGGAGGCTCGCACCGTACCATCAGCTCAACCGGCGCGAGACTTGCGACCCATCAACCCTCTCTCCCCACCAGCCGTCCGAGGTACAATGATCCTTGGCTCGTCTCGTCCCCAACTTCTTAACGACACCAAACTTCGCTTTATGAATGACTTAAAAGTTTGTTTCAAGGTTGGCTGAGCTTACTGAGTATAGCTGCAGTAACTTAGTTAGTTATAAATTAACATATAACATAGTATTAAGTAAATCGTTAGTGTTGATCGTCAGATTTATAGAAGGTTTCATCATAATATTATACATATGTAGTTTTGAACAGTTCGAATGTTAATCATGAGTCACAAATTATATTTTACAATCTTGTTTGTAATAAAGGCCTCGAATGTTTCATATGTGAAATAGCACTTGTAAATTCAATAGCCATCGTCTATGTGTAGTCAAACTCCACCTACGTCAATAACGTACATAACGTATGTATGTATCCTTGTATGCTGAGTTTACGTCATGCAATAAAAACGGGTCAGGTTATTGGGCGGGGCGGAGTAGTAACGCCCCGCATCTCTTAAAAGAAAAATTGTCAGTTGGACCGCGCAGCCGCCTGGCGATCTTTATTTTTTCTTTTAAGTTGTGGAGGGGTGGACCCGGAGTGGTGGGCGGAACTGCGCAGGTACGCCCTGCGGCACGCCCGCTGCTATCGATCGACCTGCTTCCACCCACGCCCAACTAGATGATTTACAAAATACTAATTTATTAATCGATTTGTCCGCAGAAGGCAACAAGTGTCCGACTCCTGGTTGCAATGGGCAGGGCCACGTTACAGGCCTCTATACGCATCATCGAAGGTAAGCTCGATGATTTTGATGCCTTTCAGATAACGGGATGTCTAAAACTCTGGCACAATGCCAAAAAGATGACATAAAATGTATACATTTCAATAGGATAATAAAAGTATAAAACGATTTTGTATCTTTATTGACAATTTACCATTTGTCCATCAGTCTGTCAGGATGCCCAAGAAAGGACAAAGTCACACCTGAGAGTAAGTATAACATGAATAGTTTGAATGTAGTAGTATGCTCACAAGTATTATTTCACAGATTAATTCTTGTATGCAGCTATTTATACAATCAATTTGTTTTTATATGTGCATTCTCCTTTGTTTATTCTGGTTTTTTTTCTTACATTTTAGTTGCATTTTTTAGGTTTCATGCATTTAAAGTTAGGTTGTTGATGATTATGTAGCGACATTTATTTTGGTTAAAAGTATATTACACGCTCCGCCAAGATGGGTTGTAGCAAGTTTATGAAACACAGAGTAGAATCACGAGTATATTGCTTTTAAAACTATAATTTGATCGTACTAACTCAGAACCTTCAAAACAGTATGAGAGAACGAAAAACATTAATATATAGACTATCCATATAGAAAACACTATACCATTCATTTTACTATTTAAAACAAAACCGAAAGTTGACATAATATCAATGAGTACTTTTTGCTGTTTCTCTACTCTGAAATCCCAAAATATACGTTCTCAGCCCTGGCTTTGGAATATCTTTTACAAGTTTACAATACATAATATTAAAGACATTGCTATTTTTATCAGATATATTAATAACCTCACAATTAATATTAATATTATTTTAAGCTGGTCTCTATATATTTTATCGTCTTTAAACTGATAAAATTACAGTCTATATAAATGAAGTCAGAGAATAAACTTCACACACAAAATAAAAGGCTTCTTAAACCAGCACTAATGGAGAGTTTGATCGACAGTATTGGCGTTGCACGAGACAATCTTAAAGTGTCCGACGCCGGGGTGTAACGGAAGAGGTCACGTCAGTTCTAATAGAAGCACTCACCGGTCTCTCTCTGGCTGTCCGACGGCCGCTGCACGCAAAGCAGCAGCACGATCCCAACGAGGCAGACCACCGGGTACAAATTGTTAATAAATCTGGATATTACATGAATATACTTCTGACTGAATCTACCTTTCTTCTTCTACGTATTCGATTTCTTGGGCTTAGGCGAAAGACTCAAAAAAAGTTTTTCTACATCCCATCCAGTTCAATTACCCGCACCGGTTCCCGTGACTCAAGTGTCAGCCGGCACGTCAGATAGTCACACGTCGGACGGTTCCCGCGATCGGGTCCCAGCGGCATCGCCGCAGACTCCGGCCGTGAAGCGCGAAGCCCCCGAGCTGCTGGTTCCGAAGCGTGAGGCCGCCGAGCCCGAGCGCGACTCCCCCGGCATGGAGACGCGCCACGCCGGCTACGGCGCGCCGCCCGATCAACGCTCACCGTACGAACGACCGCCTGACGACCACGTGCGGTCATACAGGTAAGGACTATACTGCTGCTGAAATAGTGACATTATTAGATGAAATTAAAAAAATAAGAAGCTCTATTTGGTATCGACTTTTCCATTCCACGATTCGAATTTAACTGCTAGATGTTTCTTCGTTAAAATTACTTGCACAATAAATATTGAATATAGCTTCAGGGTAGCCAATTTTAAAATAGCATTTTGTCTACGTCCTAGTCAAATGAACGAAGCTCGGTACGGATACGAAGCTAGGTGCTATGAGGGCGCCCCAGCCTTTGAGAGATATGACCCAGCCCAGTGCCCTCAGAGGCCTTACGGTTGGGAAGAAGAACGGTATCATGACCCTCATTTGCCAACGCCAATGAAAACCGACCAATCAGAACAGGAAACAAATTCTGGACCTATATATCCTAGGTACGTAAAACTTATTCATCGTCATAAATACTCTAGTATATCTATTTGGCCTATATGTGGTAAACGGGACTCGTTGCTTGAACTTGTTATTGGAGTGTAGTACCAAACATCCGCGGCTACTTGTATTGCGTTAAGAAATTAGTCCAAAAACTGACTAGTTGTTGTTGCGGCTTGTCTAGACCAATGTACCATTACGAAGCTGGCAGTGTGGGCGCCGTGGGCGGGGTGGGCGCTATGGGCCCAGGCGTTCCCCCCGGCTTCTCCGCTATCAATCTCTCAGTGAAGATAGCCGCAGCTCAGGCTCAACGTCCTCGAAGTCCCACAGCCAGGGATCCTCGTGATCCCCGTCCGGCTATAGATCTATCCACATCTAGTGGCAGTCCACAGGTGAGAATAGAAACGCAGAAAGTTATAGAATGTTTATTTCGTAATTAATATCTATATGATAAAGCCCATTTATGCAACAGGGTCCATATGCGTCACCGGTATACACGAGCGCCGGTGGTGGCAGTGGGGGCGGTGCGCGGGGAAGCCCGCAGCCGGGCGCTTCGCCCCAACTTACGGCAAGTCCCCAAGTTCCCAGTCCACAAGGCCAGACCCTCGACCTTAGTGTGTCCCGTTTACCACATAGGTGAGGCATCATGTATCATAGGTTAAATAGCATACCATATTATATGTAGTTCTCACGCTATTATTACGAAGCATGCATTGTTCATACTATGTAATCTAAGTCATAGAAATTTGTTCACAGTAGAAGTTTTCCGGGTGGTGTTTCATACAGTCGAGAATCAACGCCAGATAGCGGCGGAAGCCATCCATATCTTGAAGCATACCATCGCGACACAGCCGGTAAGAGTAATACAAATTGAATTAAAAGAAATATTTTACAAACATATCAAGATATAACCACTTGAACTGTTACAAGAAATAAAATTATATAGAAACATTTATTTTATAAAACTTAATCCCCTTATGTAGAAACAAAATAAAACAAAGTATACAAATTAAAAAGGACCGCTCTAATTACTCCCGCTTAACGCCACGCTCACTTTTGCTATTACAACTCAGCAGGCGTTCGTATCAACGTTCAAAAGTGTACATGTACTTACGTATGCGGTTAGTGGCCTAAAACGTACAAGGGCGGTAATTAAAATGTTAATTGAAACAGATAACCCTGACCTATATGTGATTTCAAGTATTATCGGTTTAATAAATTCGATTTTAATAAATTCGTTTCCGTAATTTTAATGATTACAGGATCTAACTGTATTATAAAAATCATTATAAAAATGATTTCTACAGCTCAATGTCAAACCTTGTTTCAAAAATCAATTGGTTAAGCTATCTGTTCTTGAACTGCCATATTTGTTTGTGTATTATTTTTTTTACGATTAACTCTCTATATAACTTAATATTTTCAATAAAAACAGGTTACGGCGGCGTAAGCCCTCACCCGGTAGCCGGATACGGTTTAGCGCAGCCGGATTATGCGGCTGCCGCTGCTGCTGCCGGATACGGTGGCTATCAGTACCAGTGCGGGGCGTACCCACCCCCTCCCGCGTACCCCCCACACGCGCCGCCGTATTCACCACCGTGCTATATGCCGCCGCCGCACGCACCGCACGACAAACCCAAGGATAGGTGAATATACATAATATATATATTATTTGGTAACATTGCTACTAGGTACTAAACCTGAGTATATAACTTACGTATATGTTATAAAAATGTATATAATATATATTTAATTTGTTATTTACACGGCCATAATAGAAATCAATTATTTTTTAAACGAAAATTAATACAATACCGTTCTATTGTTGAGAATTATTACCTTAATTAATATATTACTGTATGGTAATTAGAATAAATTCAGTTAGTCGTTATTTGGAAAGGTTAGGTTTGTTACATAAAAGTGTTCAATGACAACTTTTGTATATACATATTATGTGTACCTATTTAAACTATGAGTTTCGTTATATAGGAATTGTTTCCTTACTCTACAAACGGTTATCAAAAGAATTTTATTACGTGATATGAAATAGAATTACACTTACATTTGATAGTCCGCAAAACATAAAACTTGTTATTTACTTGAGGAATAATAAATTAATTTCGAGAATAAATCTTATATTGATTGTTAAATTAAATGTTTGGGATTGCTGGTTTTACGTATCTCGTTATGATGTTACCTATTCCCTAGTCAGTAGTTAGTGGAAGTCAAATACTCAAGCCGTCAGTCTAAATATACCGACGGCCGCGTTCACTCACGATATACAACGCACGCTCTAATAACGTAGATAAGATATTAACAAACGTCCCACAAAACAAGCTATGCGACAAAACAGGTGAGATTTTAATCTAAGACAATCATATAATAACGTTCCTCATAATGACAATGAACGCGCATATATCAATATTTACGTAAACAGTGACCGAGTTAAAGTTTACAATTTCGATATAACAGTTTAACGACTTGATTATAATTAAATGAAATTCACATTGCAGTGTAACAGAAATTGTATTTAATATCAATTAATATTGTAATATAATAGGATCTAGTAATAGTACAGTTGATTTATTTACGAATAGCTATCACCGCGACGACTTTTACGGTAAACATGGTTACCGTATACGGGAGTCGAAAGAACTGATCCACTGTCCCGTCCGGAGCTGCGATGGTTCCGGACACGTGTCTGGCAACTTTGCTACTCACCGCAGGCAAGCGGGAGCATTTGTACAGATTTGTACAGATTTGCGTCACTGTTGAATGCAGTATTAGCGTATCTGTTTGCATAATACAGCTGATTTGTGCTCCATTCCAATTTTGTTCATTTCCGTCAATTGAGTCTTCCCGTGATATAGCTGCGAACTAACTGCATGACGGATCGTTAACAGAATGCATTAAGAGTGTTTTGTATTTAAATCTTTAACAAAATGTTTTTATACCTATAACAGCTAAAAGAAAATATAGGATTGAATAAAGTATCAATTTTCTTTTTATTAGTATGAAAAGTGCATCTTTAAAACACTCTTTGTTCAAACAAGAAGTATTTTACGATGATTTAGATTTAGAACGGTAACGTAAAAATACAACGCTAATTATAGTTTGAGAATCAAACAATCATAACAGATGCTACACGCGCGTATAACTTTTATCTGGATAAAGTGCTCTCACATTTCTCTTAAGAAGATTATAACTTGTTAATAATTACGATCTACAATTAACATTCAGAAAGAGTCCAGTTCAGTTATCAAGTAAAATACATTATAACTTTGTTTAATCTTGCGTAACAAATACACATAATATTTATAGCATTCTAACTGTTGTAATGATTAACATTTGCAAGCATGCCGGTTTTTATTTAATGTGTATTAAAAAAAACGTGATATACTAAAGAAATATTTCTGTTACAGTATAGTTTTATTTGTGTTAATAGATTATAACCGTTTTTTGCAATAAAATGCTCAACCACGGCATTGTAAGCAGTTTGTATATGTGCAGTCTGTCCGGATGTCCACGTGCTGATCGCTCTCAACTGCAGCCACATTCTCAAGAGCTGAAGTGTCCTACTCCTGGATGTGACGGTTCTGGCCACGTTACTGGGAACTACTCCTCTCATCGATCACTATCAGGTTGCCCCAGGGCTAATAAACCGAAGAGCAAGCCCAGGGATGGACAAGATTCTGAACCACTCAGGTGATTAATACATCGATGCTCGAATATTAATCGGCTAAATTATAAAACATTCATTTTACAATTTGAATATTGTTGTCAGGAATTCGATAAAATTAATTATTGAGACAGTTGCGATAATGATTAATCATTAAATAAAAATATATAAAACGTCTTTCAAAAACTTTTTATAAACCAAAGAGTATCATAAGGTTCGTTAAAACTATAATTAGCCATAGAAATGTCTAGATGTAGGCGTCATTCGTTTAAAGGCGTGTTCCAAAGTATAATATAATAAGTATCTGTAATATACGTTTGTTGATATTTGCACGCTGCTTAGATGCCCTATACCGGGCTGTGACGGATCTGGGCATGCCACAGGAAAATTCTTATCACACAGAAGGTAAGAACAGAAGATGAATGATGTGATAATCACACTATTAAAACATAGTTTTAGGTCGAGACGTAACATATACATATGTGTATGTGTAGGTACAGTAGTCACACATTACAATTTAGCCAAGCAAGAGTTTAGTTTTACGAATATACATTCATGATATTAAATTTAAATGTGTTGTAATTTGTCGTTTATTTGAGATGTTTTTAATTTGCCTGTAATAGAAACAAAAATATGGCCATGCTTTTAAAAAGAAATGAGCCTCAATTAGTGTTTGTAATGAAATCTATGTCCTCAGCGCGTCGGGCTGCCCTATCGCAAATCGGAACAAAATGCGGGTTCTAGAAAGCGGCGGCACAGTGGAGCAGCACAGCGGCAGCGGCAAAGCGGCGCTATAAAATCCGCTATAAAATTCGATGGCGTGAACTGTCCCACCCCGGGATGTGATGGATCGGGACATATTAACGGTTCGTTTCTAACCCATCGTTCGCTATCCGGCTGTCCCGTAGCCGGTGCAACCACACCGACGCCTCAACCAAAGAAACCGAAATATCCTGATGATATCACTCCGCTGTACCCCAAGCCCTATTCAGGTTTGTATTTCGTATCAATTACCAGATGTCAGAAAAATATTAACTCTTTTTCTTTCGTATTTATCAAAGAAAGATTCTATTACAGCCAATGATTCTGACGCCTTTTACTAATGAAAATACTTTCTCTGTCAGGTATGGACATTAACATGCAGACGGGAAACGGCGAAGACTTAATGACACTGGAGCAAGAAATTACTGAACTTCAGCGTGAAAATGCAAGAGTGGAATCACAGATGATGCGTCTGAAATCGGACATAAACGCTATGGAATCACACTTGAGCCATGGAGAAAGGGTGAGTTTTGACTTATAATATTCTTCTTAAATAAATCCACTACTCCATTAGCTCAAGAATAACAAAATCAAAATTTACCTATCCTATCTTTGTCTGATGACGTAGATGGTAGAGTCATGGCTCCAAACAACCAACTTTGAGTGCTAACAACAACTATAACATGCATTTGTGAGTACTACTTCATTACTATATGATATGGTAGTCACTCTAAAGAGGAGCCGAAATCCCTTGTTTTTATATATCATTATATTTATTATCTTTGAGGCGTATTCTGATAACTGTATATCTTTCCAGGAGAATCAGCTCATCATTCATCGCAACAGCAATCTGAACGAATATTACGAGAGTCTTCGGAACAATGTGATCACGTTGCTGGAGCATGTCAAGATACCGGGAGGAGGTACGGTGCCTGTGTCAGCTGCCCCGGGGACTCCCGGAGCTGCTCCTCCAACTGGCCCCGGTGATAAACCGGCCCACGATAACTTCGACTCTTACCTCACCAAGCTACAGACCCTATGCTCTCCAGAAGGATACTGCCCCGATGAGAACCGACCGATCTATGAGACCGTTAAAAACGCGCTCCAAGACTTCACAGTGCTACCCACGCCGATATAAGGCTCACCCAGCGCCGCCGACAACGAGCGACAGTGATTATTTGCCATCACCGATTGCGATTGGCGGAGCTTATTTCGACTGACATATAAATTTAATGAGTCTAGAACAATGTAATGTTATATTTACCAAAGGTGTATTTTAAGACTGTTGACATAAATGTCAAAACGAATACAGTGAATTATGAATGTATCTGTGTACAGTGTGACAGTGCGATGGATCCTTCGGACGTTATGTGTTCTATTTAGATACGATGTCTATTTTATAACCGTTGTATACGATGTGTGAATTCTTTAAGACATCACGTTACCGTTCGTAAATTCAGCTAGTCAATAAGATGGACTTAAATTTAAATGAAAATGAATTTTAAACATTGTTAATCGTATATGCTTAAAGTAAGTTAACGTTAGGGAAAGTTTATACAATTGTACTAAGGGATTTTAGCACTACACTGCATTCAAACGGGATCTAACGTGTAAATATGTACGTAATTTATTAATGAGACATTAGGTTATAGATAACTGTCTACAGTCGAAACGGACGGTGTTTAGTGGAAATTTAATAAAAAAGTTTTATCAATAAATGAACTTAAATAAAATATAAGGATGTTACTCTTTATTATGTTCATACTGGGTATGTGCCAAATGCTCTGCAGGGCCACTAGACCGCTGACGTACTAAGACTATTATTGGTATAGAGTAAAAAAAGAGAAATCATTTAGCGAGCTCTAGTCAGTTTGTAAATAAATTGTGAATACATGATAGTCACGTCTCAAAGGACGTTCTTATTTATATTAGTAAATAACGATCTCATTAGATCAAGTAAGTTAAATAATTCAGTCATTAATTGATAACCATTGTAGAGATAAATTAATAATTTCTCTGTTAGCAAATGTTCACTTGCTGTGATTATGTTACGTGTTACTTATTTATTGTTACCTTTGAGGATGTGATAGCTCAAATCAAGGCGGGTTATTGTTATTTTGCTATGTTTTATTTAACACGCTTTACTCATGAATGTGCAATTATCGTTTTATTGTATTAAGATAAGCAACAATTTTGTTAAAACTTTCAAAACACATTTTCGCCAAGTTGCATCAGTACACTGATCAATAATGATATTCGCATATATAAAATCTACATAATAAATAATATGTTATTCTGATTGTCATATACGTTTCTGTAAAATATTGAGTATGTGTTGTTAAAGAGAATAAAATAATAAATGATGAAAATGGCTTCTATTTTATTTATTACCTAGCATCTACAATTAGATTAAAATTATTTTGTTAGGTACGAAATGTATGGTTATTTAAAAAATAGCATAAGATATTGATAGTTAAAAATGTAAACCCATTGAAACCAAATTAAAAAACCTATTGTAAGTATTGAAATTACAAAAAATATTTAGCAGTTTAGATATCAATGTGGCTGAATTAATTACCCATATAAATAAATACGGGTATTATTCAGACAAATATAAAAAGTTTGTGTTATTACTATAATTTGAAATTAACTAGAACTTAACGTATTTTTTATACCAGAGATAGCTTTGTAGAACCTGCAGTCTCTAGGTACAAAAATATTTGGGTGTGTAAAATAGGTAAATTTAGGAAAATATATAATAATAGGTTCGTCGTAAATGTGTTTCTAATAGTACACTGAATTGTCAAAATAACTGGAAAAAGTTCTGGGAAATTGCTTTTACCCTAAAGATTAAAGCTGCTTTCCCTGCAACGCGACTGACCTGGCACCCGCTCGGTGAATCCATGACATGCTGAGACATTTTATCTCTATTTTTAAATATTTTGCATTAAAATATTTTATTATTTATTTTCAACTTTTTCTTAGTCAGCCATGATCATAAATCTGTACTTATGAAAAAAAAATCCATGGAAGGACTGTTTATAAAGACGATAAATAAATATTTATGAAAGAAAATAAAATGAATTTTTTATTCATCTTATTAAATAATGTAATAAGGTATTAATATTTTTATCTATTCCAGTAGTGAACAAGTATTGTTTCAAAATATAGAAAATATAGATACTATAGCTGGATAGATATTTAAGTAGATATAGTGTAGTCTGTCAGTTGTCAAAGTCATGCTGTATTCAATAATCCGTCATAAACATGTGCTTGTTTGTTGTGTATGATTAATTTTATTTTTTAATAACGTAAAAGTGCTGTTAATATGGAAAACCAACCTTCCCGCAATAAAACGGTAAGTACTTTACAAAAAACTTCTTATACAATACTTTACACGAAAGGGTTTCTCTTACAATATTACACATTCCCGTATATTTTATAAAACAATGCGTTTCCCCTAAATATTATACAACTTTTACCATTTTTGTTCTCTTACATAGAAAAGGTACTTTGACACCGCGCCTGAAAAGGACGAAAAGACTCAAAATAAGAATGAAAATGTCAAAGTATATACTGTAAAGAGTACTGCAAAGTTACTGAAAATTCAGAAATATAAGGTGGGTATTAAAACTCGTATAAATATGCTCTTAAATAAATATATTTTTTTAAAACAATCGTCCATTTTCAGGAACAAAATTTAAATCGCAGAAAGAAAGCTTTTATAAATAACAATAAAATAAAAAAGAATTTTCCCAATAAAGCTCCAATTGATCCCAAAAAATTGGAACTTCATTCAAGGGGTGAAGGTTTTACTGGACAAGGGGTATTGCATCCGCTTCATTTATTGAAATTAAAGAAAAGAGAAAAGAAATTCAAATATGCTCAAGAGCAGGCTGCAAGAGCTGATATTTTATTGACGGAAGGACAGGGGTGACTATAATACAAGTTTGGTATTTTTTATAACATACATATATTTGATTAAAATTTTAACAACCTATAGGTATTTAGAAGTAGATGAAGATAACAGAACCACATCCATTAACCAAAAAGTAATAGCTGATAATGTAGACATCACAGCTGCAACTAAAATATTTGAATTAAATCTTGATTTTGGTCCATACAATGCCAAATATTCCCGCAACGGTAGGCATTTACTTTTGGGTGGTAAAAAAGGACATTTAGCAGCTTTTGACTGGGTAACAAAGAAACTGCATTTTGAAATTAATGTCATGGAATCTATTCATGATATGAGGTAAGATATGTATGTTATTGCAATGTTTTTTCCATTTTGATGAAGTTTTTAGTAATCAGTATTACGATCATAATTTTCCATCATCAAACTTTTATTTTGTTACTATCGTGAGCTACAATTTAAGAATTAAAATATAGTTTAACATTGAAAACTTGTGATAAGGTTACAAGTTGACAATATTGTTACATAGAAATTTGACTGATATGCTTAAAGTAGCATATTAGTTACAATTCATTTTGCGAGTAAAATCTTGATAATTTTTTATTTAAAAAATTCATAATTCAAAAAATAATTATCCCTGTTTTCAGTTGGCTACATGTTGAAACTATGGTTGCAGCAGCTCAAAAAGAATGGTTATACATATATGACAATACAGGAACTGAAATACACTGTGTTAAAAAATTAGACAAAATACTTAAAATGGAGTTTTTGCCTTATCATTTTCTACTAGCTACTGTTGTATGTATGACATGTTTAATGCAATTTTTATTTAATTTAATGGAGCCACTAATGCTAAAAACTTTCAGAATGAATATGGATTTATGTCATGGCTGGACATTTCTATAGGAGAAATAGTTGGTCATTATAATAATAATATGGGGAGGACATCAGTTATGACTCAGAATCCATATAATGCTACAGTATGTTTGGGAAATCCCAAAGGTGTTGTATCAATGTGGTCACCAAGCTCAAAAAAGCCATTGGCAAAAATTTTGTGCCACAAAACACCATTAACTGCTGTTGCTGTTGATAATAGGGGCATGTATGTACATATATATATTAAATTAATTATAAAAAGATTCTCCTTTTTAATAATGATATACTGTTTATCAGGTACATGGCTACATCAGGTGTTGATAGGAGCTTAAAAATCTGGGATATAAGAAACTTAGATGGACCACTACAACATTATAAATTGCGCAGTGCTCCTGTACATCTTGAATTTTCCCAAAAAGAAATGTTAGCTGTTGCATTAGGAAATAATGTGGAAGTGTATAGGTAAAAATTAGAAGTAACATTTGTTCTTAAAAATATTTTCAACTATGTATATGTGGATGTGAGATTAATATCATATTTTATTTTAGTGATTGTTGTATAACAACAACAGAGAAACCTTACCTCAGGCACAGAATGGCAAAAGAAATATCTAACTTTAAATTTTGTCCTTTTGAAGATGTTTTGGGTATTGGCACTACTGGGGGATTCACCAGTATAATTGTACCAGGTAAAACAAAAAAAAAACTCTATACTAATTATTCACATATATAGCTACAAATTATTTTAATTTGATATATTTTTGTTATTCATAGTAATAACATTATATTCATTCCACAGGCAGCGGTGAACCTAACTTTGATGCACTGGAAAGTAATCCATTCCAAAATAAGAAACAAAGGAAGGAGGCAGAAGTCAAGGCATTGCTTGAAAAGATACCCGCAGAACTTATTACTCTTAATCCATTTGAAGTTATGGAAGTAGATGTGCCATCAATGCAGGACAGAATGGAAGCTCGCAATAGTCTTTTGGTTTGTATTTCTTAATTCATTTAGAAGTATTATATAGACAAAATTTGTCTATGTGCAAGTAACTATGGTTAAAAATTTTAATTGTTTTGTAATGTATACAAATAATATCTTTATTTCAGTACCTAAAACCAAGAAATATTGACTTTACACCAAAACACAAGAAGAAAGGAAAGACTAACATTGCTAGAAAGAAAATTATAAAAGATGCAGCTCGAAAGGTATCTTTATTTATACCATGAACTTCAATAATTCACATATGTATATAAAATTCTTATAAAGTGTGTATAGATATATTACTAAATACTGAAAATAGTTAATTAAACAAGGTTTTTAGCTTTTTATTGTATCTTGTCTGTGACTATACACTCAAAGGATTATTTTTACTTGCAGAAATTTATCAACCAATCAATAGAAGCAAAGAAGATTCTTAAACAACCAGAAGAAGATAAAAATTCAAAACCCAAACAATCATTTGGAGTTTTGGACAGATTTGTATCGAAACCCAAGGTTAAAAAATAAAATAACTTCCTTTTTAATATAAAAGTTTTTTTCTCTTATTCATAAATTGTATACACTATATACTATTTACATTCTCAATATAAATTTTAGACTTGATCACAAATATTAATATAAAAAAAAAGTTTAACAATAAACTAAAATAAATGTCATATGATTTATGATTAATTTTCCTATTGATTAGGATATGGAATATCAAATAAGTCACATAGTCCTTCAGTGCCATATAAAGAAAATGAGAAATCCTGCTTTGTTACTGGCGGGCTTAGCCTTAAAAGGTATTCTGAAAAATAAAATTATTACATATTAGTTACGAACAAATAATCATAGAAAAAAGTTACTATAGTAACTATATTGTAACTTTTTTAAAGAACTACCTTGTGAATTTGTAGTCCCACTGGCTCCATACCATTCTACTTCCTCATCCATAGTATCATCATCTACAATCTATAGATAAAACAAATTTATATGTTACATACAAACAATAATAAAAGAATCAAGTAAAGATAAATTACAACAATATAGGATCTTATATAATTTTCTTTTTACTTTGTAATGCTTTTTAGCAAGTAGTGATTTCTTATCATAAAAAGAACTAAATTACCTTATCCTTTTCAACATCACACAAAAGTATAACACCAACAGGCTCATTTGATTTTAAATGTAGAAAATACTGATCTTCGTCTTCACCCTGAAGAAGATAATACATAATGAAGAATTAATTTATATCAACTAAATGAACTATTTCATTTAAAAAGTGGACTACTTACCTCATTCAATTGCCCAACGGCTAAATTAGCCCCAAGTGGTGCTTCCAAAACGAGCACTTGACTATCATTGAAACAGTTTTTTACATCACTTTGAGTAACATAGGACAAAGCTTCATTATCCGCATCATCTATGACATTCTTTATACTTTGTTCAATCCAATGCATTTGCCTGGAACAAACTAGCATCTTATATTGCTGTGCTTATAACTATTAATGAATACAAAAATATATTTTCATACTTGTCTAATAACTCTTCATGTTCTTCCAAGAGACCTATTTGTTTCCTTAGAAGTGTTACTTTTTTACCAATTTCTGATGTATTTCCATCTGGACTGGCACCCCTAGAACATTGAATTAAATGTAAACATTTGTATCCCAAAGACAATTATAAAAATTCAAAATAAACATAACACAAGATCCTTACTTCCACTGTATACTATTCTTACTTCGCTTTTCTATCAAACCGATTCCCTCTAAAACGTTTGTTATATCATAAATTCGCCGTTTTTGTCTCACTGCCAATAAATCAGTTGCCTGAAAGAGAATAGTAGCTAAATAATTTATAGAACTCATTCTATATTCAAAAAGATTTACATTCGTGCACAATTTAACTGTAATATAGGCATCACTTACGATTTTTAAATCTAAAACTCCATCCTTTGCTTTTTTAAGTAAAGACACGAACCTCGTTGTAAGTAATCCAAGTGATTTTTCATACCTTTTATAAGAGTACAGTTCTGCCATTTTAAAATAAGTATTCTAATAAATAGTTAAATTAATACTTTTATATTTTTGCGTTGCGGCGGGATATCCAAAAGTTCACAGGTAGAAACATGTTTACATTAACACAGATTATATTGTCCGTTAACTTATTTCGAACAGAGTAATAATGTTCATACTCGTCCACAGTAAAAAAAATTATTACATTGTAAATGGAATTTATATTGTTATTGAAATTTATTAGTCATACATATATGAAAAAACATTAAATATTTTTTTTACTCATTGTTGCTTTAAAAAACTATCCATTATCTAGTGTGCGAATTCAAAGCACGAAATAAAAATATTTTAATATTTAATCAAAAAAAACAAAGTATTAAATTAAAACAATTTATTAAGCTTTTCAAAAACATACACTTTTGTTATTTAGAAAAAAAAATTATTTCTCACTTCGTTCATCATTAAGTATATTAAGAGATGTGATAATTTTTTTAAATGTGCTTTAATTTACATTTGAATAAAGTTCACATTTATTATGTTAAAAAAGAACTATAAACACAATACTTTTAGAAATTGGCGTCTTTACTAATATTAATAAATGAGCACTTATCAACATCCACGTTTTAACAATACCGCATGTGGAAATTACTGATGTTGCTTAAATATAAGTTTTGAAAAAAGCGAAACTGCTTCATAAATTTAATTTTTCTGTTTTTTACACTAAATATTGGTTTATTTTCAAGAACATTAAGTTACTAAGATAAAAATTAGTTCTCATTTTCACTAACATTACGTGTTGCTTAATTTATCAAAGTTGTTAATGGTTGATTTCAGGTTCGTAACTCTTAAAGTTAATAACTTCAAATGAGTATTAGAGACAGTAGGCCTTTAGTGGAATATAAGTTTTCTAAATCTTTAACACCATATACTGTGTTTAAAGGGAATCATAATATTGTGAAATTTTGAGAGATAAGGAAAGCTCAACTTAATGATACTAATATATATATATATATATTAGTGCATTGTGTTTCAATAAACATTATTGATATTCTCGAATGAATATTGACTTTCACGTATATAAAATGTTAAAATCAAATAATTAATATATAGCTTTTATAGAAACGTTGATTTTTCTGTAAAATGTATTTAATGTTTTTTTAAATTTAATTTTATAATCTTATTAGAGGAAGTCGACGATCCAAAACCGACGCGACGATCGATCAACGAATTTTCTTTTTATTAAGATGTACACTTTAATGGAACAGTCTGATTTGTACTAAATAATCTTTTTCGAATCAAAGATCCAAATATAATTAATATTAATATTTTTATTTTTGGTAAATGGAACCGAGTGTTATATAAAAAATTGTGTTTCAGGGCCATAAAGTACTTACTTTTTTTGTTATTGGTATTTGTTTCGTCGTCGAGACAGTGAAATAAGTTTTTGACAGATGATTTTTGATAGGTACCTAAATATTTACAATATTGTATCACTATTTACTTTCGATCAGAATGAAGATATAATATAGTGTATGATCTATGAGATATATTATTGCATTTATTTTGTGATTATTTTATGATTACTTAATAAGAATTGAGAGATATTATGACTACGAAAACCTTTTTACGTCTAAAATTCACAATTTCATAGTAAGATAAAAACACTGAAATTTTTAATAATGCTTGTTAGACATGGACAAAACAAAACTTTCATATTTTTTAACCGAATATATACATAGTAGTGATGATAGTGATTCAAGTAGTTGGAGTGATATAAGTAGCGTGAAATCAGAGTTTTATGAGGAAGATGAGGAAGACAGATTGTTTATCCCTCTTATGCAGTATCTTATAAGAATAAAAAGAAAACGTGTTGACGACTATCTACATTTTGTAGAATCGTGGACAGATGCAGAATTTAAAAATCGTCTCATATTGTCACGCAAAACTGCTTATAAACTTATTGGTAAAACGAGTTGTTAATTTTTACTCATAATAAACTTAAATAAGGCTATTAAATAAAACAAAATTTGTTACAGATGACTTAGAGAAATCAGGATTTATAGCTTCACACAAGTTTGGTTTAAAACCTTTAGAACCAAAGTTATGTTTCTATATTTTCTTATCCTTCATAGCTGACACAGAACCATTGACACCATTAGCAAATAGATTTGATATATCTATATCCTCAACATTCAGAGTGCTAAGGAGAGTAGTTGCTTGGTTATTAACAAAATTAGATGATGCTATAAAATGGCCACAAGATTTTAACGATGTAGAGACAATATGTGAACAATACCACTTCAAGACTGGAATATCTAACATATTGGGTGTCATTGACTGCACTCACATAAAAATAGAGAAACCAAGGAATGCAAGAGAGTATTGTAATCCAAAAGGATACTTCTCAATAGTTTTACAAGCCACAATAGATGCTAATCTTCGTTTCACAAATATCTATTGCGGCGAACCAGGGTCTGCCAATTGTTCCAGGGTATTAAGAAAATCCCCATTGTATCAAACAGCCACTCAAAGTAAAGATACATTGTTTCCCCATAACACATTTTTAGTTGGACATAGCGGATATCCGGCATTATCTTGGTTGGTTCCGCCATTCAGAGAAAATAAGAGACTAACAACACAACAAAGGGAATTTAATTCCCTTCATGCATCAGCTAGAAAATTAAGTGATAAAGCTTTTAACTTATTAAAAACAAAATTTAGAAGAATCAAACTATTTACAGTTTATAGAAATATACCGTTTATAACTGATACTATTGTCGCTGCATGTATTTTGCATAATTACTGTCTAGATGAAACCTGTGATCCTTTGGAGGAATAATAAAAAGATATTTTTGACAGTTTTTAATTTTATTACTGATTTTTCAGTCATACTTTATAGTAACCTGATTGTGTAGGTGCAATAAATATATTTCATTTACAGCTTTGAATAATATAGTTTTCTGATCACAAAAACTCATTCTCCTAGATCAATCATTTGGTTTGTGATTGAAGTAAATAATGGTACAATGAAGTTACACTCCAATGATTTATTGGTTTTCTATCAATTTTCTTAACAATGCACATTTTTCTTGTTCTACTTTCAGAATTTCCTCATGTTTCTTTTCTTTTAATTGTAACTTCTTTAAGGCTATTGTCTGTTTATTTTCCAATTCTTTTTTCTTAAGTTCTAATTCTTCTTCTCTTAGTCTAAGACTCCTTTCATACCTCTCATCTCTGATTAGCCTTTGTTCTTCTTGCCTTTGTAAATATTCAATCCATTGTTTATCAAGTTCTACTTTGGTCCTATGTTCTGTTTTTAGTTTTCTATAGGGAGAGGTATTCTTAAATGATAATTTTCTATTTAATCTGTTATGTTCTTTGTCACCTTGCATAATACCTGATGCTAGTCTGTATGCACCGTCTTCATTATATCTTCCTAGGATTTGATGCATTTCATTGAAATACTTAAAAGCCACTGCTCCCTGGCCACTGTCTAGACAGTCTTTATATTTTTTTGTAAGGGCATTTATTTTCCATCTCACCTGATCTGGTGTAACCTTGAAAAAATTGAATTTTTATTTTGAAATTTAAAACATTCACCCATAAAATAATCTGGAATAGAACATACCTCTATATGAAATGCTTTTAATTCCTCAGACATAGATATCCACATTTTGGATTTTTTCTTCGGATTATCCAACATATTTAATTTAGTTTCATATAAATTCAAAAGCATCAATGTAGAATCTTTGGTCCAAATAATATCTGCAAAAATTATATTTATATATTATTATTTACTATTTCATGATAATAACAGAATGTCCTATATCCAAAACATACTTTGTTTACTTGTCTCATTTGTTTCCACCTCTTCTTGGTTAAGTTGATGATTGTAGGTGGTTATGGTCAAGTTAGGTTTGTAGGGTGAAGCTATTGAACAGTTTTGGCCGTCGAGAGTTGATGAAAACAAAAAGCGCTTTTATAAGTTACTACAGTAACAGATGTTATATAGGTACATGAACTAAAAATATATAGATAATTGGCTGACAAAGTTATTCTCCTTACATTGATTGTCTAAAATGGCCAATACGGCAACGTTGCTATCAATACCTTCGTCCATTTTCTTAAAATTCTTTAACACGTATAGTAGCAAGTTAATAGAATAAATGAAATGTGTACTAGAATTATAACATTTAACAGTAAGAAGACTTAATAAATAAAACTTGTAATTATAACTAACATATTGTTAAAATATTATCTTTTTAAACGTTAGTAAATATCATTCACGTAAAATAAAAACAAAACAAGTCATTAACAAATAACAACACTAATAATCAGCAGTGGCGTGCATCTGTAACATTGACAGATTTTTGTTTTGCTAAAAATGTTATAGTTTTGAGGTGTGATCATTGAATACATGTTTCATAAGTTTTGAAAATTTTCTAACAAGTTTTTTTTGCATTAATGTCTTAAATACACATAATATAATTTAATAGACTTATTGTTAACACTTAAGAGTAAACGTAAAATATATAAAAACAGTTTTAAAATGCTTAAAAAAATATGAATAACAATGTTTTATAAATTAGTTTTTATTTTTACGGCTGATTCTTGCTACTTCTTTACTAGTGACTATATAAGTAGGTATTTTTTTGCATCACGTAATAAGGACCCTCTGATGTCAGTATGACAAGAGATAAATCTTTTACTGACGTTGGTTGACGTGACATTGGTTATATACTTATTTTCGTTATAAATAAATGATAATAGTAACTTATTTTTCTTGGTTATAACCAAGAGCTTTATATTAACAATGGCTCAGTGTGGAGAATTTCTTAAAAGTCACTTTCCAGTGATGGATGAAGAATTAAAAAAATATATAGAAGGTAAGGTTATATTAAAGGCCTGGTAAATGTAACTTTAATTTTTATATACTTATTCGATAAACAAAATGTTGTAAAAGAATATATGCCTTTCTCGTCGATATTAAGAATGGGTTAGCAAAATAATGATGAATTATTTTTTTATATTTTCTTTTACAGATATATTGGATAATAGTGCAGGGGAATTTGAAGACACTGAGGAAGTATTTGAAGCAGTAGGTGAAATTTTACAAGGAATATCACAAAAATCTGAGGATGATATTAGGTAATGAAAAAAATTCTATCATTTAAATTTTTGTGATTCCTTTTTCTCTTCAAGAAGTTTTATTATAAAAAATATAGTCAGGGTCACAAAATTCACACAAAAAACTTATATTTTTTTGTGTGCATTTGAAATAACCAATTTATATATAATATAGCAAATGATAATATGTCTCATGTGTTTAATCTTATAATTAATAATTAATTTATTATTGCCCAACAGAGAAATATGTGACATGTTATTAAAAATGATGCAACCAGATAAAAATAGCAACATCAATGGCCCTAGAAAAGTATTGGATGCACCAATTACATTATCATCTATGAACACCCCTATTCAGGATGCCGAAGACATGAAAAGTATATGGGTTCAAACTCGAGATGATACCCTGGTAAATGACTATTAAATATTTTAATTGTATTTTTAACATCCCTTCATTGGAGCTTTTAAGAGAACATAGTTTAATGATAATCCTCTTATCCCCTAATTTTAATCAGATAATTTACAAATTTAGAATAGGAATAAGTATGTATGTAAGGCATATCTTTCCTAAGAGACAAAACATCTCAGCATTCCACGGATTCACTGTACGGGTGCCGAGTCTATTGCATTGCATCCACCCCTATATAAAGCATGTTAAACACTCACCTCCACTGTCCAAGCTCCTCTCTCTATCTAACAAGTTTTAATTTAACCAGTAACCAGTATTAATTTTTTTAATATTCCAGAAAGTAGATGCAAAGAAATTAGAAAAGGCGGAAGCAAAATTGCAACAGAAACAACAGAAACAGAAAGATGCTAAACTACCAGTTTCAGCACCTGTTTTACAAACTGCGACCGCATCACAGGTTACATCGAAGAAAGACAGTAAACTCGAAGCTAAAGGTACAAATAGAACACAGGACATACGGATAGAAAACTTTGATATTGCATACGGCGACAGGTAATATTTAAATGAATCTTATGTACACTACCTTCGTCTTATTTACATATATGTATAGAATATTGAATAATATATCTTTCCAGTTTCATTTATCTACATTTAATGTGTTTGTTTTTTACTACTTTGTTTTTTAATTTATGTGTAAATATTAATTATTATGTATGAATGTTTAAGAGCTAAATTTACATACATGAGCCATACAACCATAATGTAATATAAAATTTTCAGAGTCTTATTACAAGGTGCGGACTTAGTACTCGCATTTGGAAGACGGTATGGTTTGGTTGGTCGGAATGGTCTTGGCAAGACAACACTTCTTCGTATGATATCCAGCAAACAGTTAAAAATTCCTTCACACATTTCCATCTTACATGTCGAGCAAGAAGTAGTGGGTGACGACACAATAGCCTTACAGAGTGTGCTGGAGTGTGACACAGTTAGAGAAAATTTATTAAGACGGGAAAAAGAAATAACTGCTGCTATTAACAGTGGGTAAGGAGAGTTTTATTGCAACTATTTATAATTATATCAATGAATTTTAAGAAAATACTATACAATACTAGTACTATATCAACAGAAACCCTGTCAAATATTAGAAATGTTTTAGAATTTAAGTATACATTTATAGACTACCAGCTGCGCCCCGCGGTGTTACCCGCGGATTTCCGGGATTTCCGACATTTCCGGGATGTAAAGTAGCCTATGTGTTATTCCTAGACGTCAGCTTCCTGTATACAAAATTTTATCAAAATCGGTTCAGCCGTTTGAGCGTGAAGAAGTAACAAACACACTCACAAACTTTCGCAATTATCATATTAGTAGGATATGACAAAGAAAGTTTAATCACATTACAAGTTTCTAATAAATAAAAGATTGCTGTTCAAAGTGTTCACATATTAATAATGACAATTTTTCATATGTTTGCTGTATTTAGAATAAAAGAGATTTTGTATCTAAAGGCTTGAATTATCTAGTCTAGGTTGGAAAAAAACCAAAATCATCAGAATTTCATGAATAACAAATGGATAGAATTTTGATATAATTATGTAATAATAATTCCAGGTCCACAGATCAAAACCTGTCTACAGAGTTGAGTGAGGTGTATGCTCAGTTGGAGAATATTGAAGCTGATAAAGCCCCGGCTAGAGCTTCAATTATCCTCAGCGGTTTGGGCTTCACACCTGAAATGCAGACGAGGGCCACCAAAACCTTCTCCGGAGGTTGGAGGATGAGGCTCGCTTTGGCAAGAGCTTTGTTTTCTAAGTTAGTACCAGATATTCATTTAAAGTTAGAAAAGTTTAAATACTTACTTTGCTTTTTCCATGACATTTATATTAGGTATTTATACTGAGGAAAATATGTACCGCAATTTTTATTATTGTTTGTACTTAAGTTACTTAAACATTATTCTCATAAAAAAAAAATAACAAAGAAAACCATTTTAAGAAAATTAATAAGTAAAAGATAAGTTAGTTAACAATTATTAATCGTAATGGTTGAACAGTTGATATATAATATAAAATATCTCATTACAACTATACTAAGTTACCTTGAGTTTAAAACCAGTTGAAAATTACTGAATATTCATATAATAAATATAATTATTACTGGAAATAAAATGTATACTGGATATATTGATTCCATCTTGTATTTGCTAGCATTACAGACATTGCGCCATAATTCTGCATAGTGTGAAACTTGCTTGTGTATAAATATTACTTAATTATGCAAATTATAATAATAAATGTAAATTCAATAGGTTGTGATTATGGTGCCTTTATCCTTATGCACCACTTCAATATGTATTGCTTATCTTGAACAGTTATGACTCAACATTTGATTATAATTTATGTATAAATAATTTTAACTACAATATTTGAAAACAATCATTCATTCATTGTTTGTCATTTTGTGACAATTCAGTCATTCACACATACATCATGATCTCAGCAATTTCAAGTTCTTAGTATGTATATACTATACAGGCTCGATCTTATTCGTTCACGAATCTCCCTTTACATAGATTCGTATAATATTCACTCATGATATCTATAAGGAAACGGCAATAACTCAATGAATAGAATAGGAAAATTTGTACCGACTGATGAATTAAGTGTCGAAAGCATGGTAGTGTGTAGTATTTGTTTTAATTAATTTAATATACACATGTATAAGCATCGTATACAAAAAATAATAACAATTTTATTCCCTTAAATGAGTTAATATCCACTTTCAGCAGATTGCACAATTGTCTTAAAGATGTTAGAAAGTTGTAATTTTATGTAAAAATATATATCAACTAGCTTTCCGCCCGCAGCTTCGCTCGCGTGGAGTTTGGTTATATCGCGTTTCCAAGAGAACCTTTCAAAAGTCTGGAATAAAAACTATCCTATGTTCTTTCTCAAGGTCAACTCTATCTCTGTACCAATATTCATTAAAACCAGTTCAGTGGTTTAGGCGTGAAAGCGTAACAGACAGACAGACAGAGTTACTTTCCAATTTATAATATTAGTAGGGATGTATGATTTAACAATGTTTAATCTCTTACAGACCAGATCTCCTACTGTTGGACGAACCGACAAACATGTTGGACATAAAGGCCATTATCTGGTTAGAAAACTACCTTCAGAACTGGCCGACTACGTTACTGGTAGTATCTCATGACAGAAATTTCCTTGACACTGTGCCTACTGATATAATGCATTTACATACACAGAGGATTGACACTTATAGGTATGTTTATTACGTAATTTGTATTTTATAAGGATAATGTGAAATAAAACTGAAGGGCTGCTTTTAACAATATAATAAATGTAAGGAATTAATATTTCTTAGTAACTCTTAGTAAATTAATGAGCAATTATGGGAGAAACATATATTAATTGTAATGGTCTTCATTAATATTTCCAATGGTAATACTATTTACATTCTAATAGCAGTTACGTGTATAATTTCACATGTGAAGGAGTGAAACAAACTAATATCCGTGTATTTTCAAACAAAAAACTGTTTTATATTTTATTTGCTTTCTGTTTATCAATCGATATTTTTTTCGAAATTGATTTTAATAATTTTTATTTATTTTTCATAAAAGAAAAGATTAAGATAGATAGAATCTACTTTAAGTTTTACTGTGTTTGAATGTCGTGATATAAGTTTTTTTTCTCCTTTTTACTAACATACTTACTGAAGACAAATAGATTTTTTTGAAACGTTTTTACTTTTATATGAATTTTGTATAATGTACAAAAGAAAACAGTAACATTCACTGGTAAACTTTTTTTTCAACCATATATTACAAATTACCAAAATAGTCCATAAGTTTCGAACCAAACAAACGATTATATAAATAAATTAATAATTTCAGAGGTAATTACGACCAGTTCCACAAGACGAAGACGGAGAAGCACAAGAACCAGCAGCGGGAGTACGAGGCGCAGCAACAGCACCGAGCTCACACACAGGAGTTCATTGACCGGTTCAGATACAACGCGAACCGAGCCTCCTCCGTACAGAGCAAGATCAAGATGTTGGACAAGCTGTTAGTATATAATTATTTACATACATGCACATACACCTATATGTAGAAATAAGTTTAGGTCAATAAGTACATAGGTCAGAAAAAATGATAGCATAACAATTAACAAAGATATTGATCAGAAGGTAAGCATTATTCTGTCGAAGAACTTATTAATATAAAACAGTGGCGTGAACAAAGATTTAGGGTAGGGTAAGCAGAATATGTTTGAAAAATAAAATACCAATTTTCATCATTTCCTCCTCTAAAACATTGATAATAATTATGATATCTTTCGCAAGTATTGACTTAAATTTTAAATTGAACTAATATTTTTACTATTTTTTAACGGGCAAACGAGATGTCTGCCGTGATTACGGTTGCTGCAAAATAATCGAAACGTCGGGAGTATGTAGTTTTTGTATATAATAAATTACGTGAAGTAATCAGAAAATATTAATTACATTTAAACATTGATAATATTCGCGCCTAATGTTACAGCAGTCCGATCAGAACGAACATCTATATACTTAATGAATCTCTCAACTAACTCTGAGCCACGAAAGTACCTTCAAATGATTACGATCTGTTGATCACAGCTTCAAAAGTTATTTAAATTGGAATATCCAGTGGAGATTCAAACATTATTATTATTATAATTTGGAATAAATCAAAGAAAGCAAACAATAACAATAATTTATTTGTGTGTACACAATCTGCTAACTAATTAAAACTATCATTATACCTTCTTTTTATTTAAACGAATAACATTACCTTTCTTTTAGTTCAATCTCAACTGGTCACACACCTTGACTTTACATTTATTTTAATTTTATTATCAAACGACAATATTGAAAATGTACTTGTAAATACTGTCAATAATAATCACTTATCACAAGCACAGAGCTCACAGCTATAATTTTCCATTATTCGTTAATAAATTAATCCACTGTTTACTAATTTAAACTTATTACTTCCACTTAGAAAGACAATATTCAAAAATAATAAAATGGCGAAAAAAATATATGAACAGTTTAGAGACCAATCAGAGAGTCCCGTTTTGTTTGACAATTAACGGACTTTCTACGACATTTTAAACAATATAAAATAATCAGTTCTTCTCGAAGACTATGTATGTGTTAGTTTTACACTCAACATACAAACATTTCCTACATATATACATACACGAGATTGGTAGTTCGTCCTAGAGAATTTTTGTATGGAAAATAAGCAGAGAGTGGTTGTGGATACCGCCGCTCTGGCTGCATAGCGGCGCTAGTAGCTTTCAGGGGCCGATCGAAAATGTTTCGCTTTAACATTTATAGATGGCACTTATTAATAAATAATGAATCAAATGTATTTTAAATGTCTGTTAACATTTATATTTCGTAATGTATGATTAAAAGTATGCAGGTAAGAATTAAACAATATAGGTTTAGTCGTTTAGGATATGCAGTGCTTATTTGCACCTATGGTGTGCAACCACTGATATAAAAGCACCACACTACAATTAGTGTTTTATTAAGCCAACGCTTATGTGCCAATTTAACTGAGCTAATGATGACCTTCTAATGTATGAGGTGATAGGGAAAGGTAAAACGTTTAGGTAGAATGTATTGATTATGTGTTTGCCTAAATGTTTTTGTTAATTAAATTGAATATTATAAGAATAATTAAATTATAACAATTAATTTTGGCACAGCACAATATTTTCTTAGGATATTTTTTTTAGCCTTTGTTCCACGTAACTTGTCAAAATACATAGAATATGTATATTATTTTTGTATGAGACCTGTTTTTTCTTTTTTGTTCGCTTTTTAGACCATTAAAATACTCTTCTTCTACCTGGCAATTTCCCACCTTTTGCCAGGGTCTGCCTTACATGTTGTGAATAGTTTTGGCTAATTGTTTTTACGACCGGCCGCCTGCCTGACATCAACCCTCTCTTGGGCATCAGCATTAATCAGTGATGTCTAAATTATCTTAGAAAGTACATATGATTCGGAAAAATCACATTGGTACTTGCTCGGGGCAGGATCGAACCCGCGCCCTCGGCAACGAGAGGCGGGCTCTTTAACCACTAGGCCATCACTGACTAACTGACCATTAAAATACTATGTAGTTCTAATGATTTTTATTTAAAACCAGGCCAGAATTGAAACCAGTTGAAAAAGAAGTGGAAGTAGTTCTACGGTTTCCAGAAACTGAACCCCTTTCTCCTCCGATCCTCCAACTGAATGAGGTCGGATTCTACTATTCAAAGGATAAGGTTATATTCTCTAACGTCAATCTCGGAGCTACTTTGGAATCTAGAATATGTATAGTGAGTAACTATTAATTATTCGTCTACCTGGCAATTTCCCAGCTTTAGCCAGGGCCTGCCTAAACTATTAATTATTATATCAATATATTTAACTAATCATCAGTTTCTTAATATCTATGTAATTCTTCAAGGTCGGTGATAACGGCGCTGGTAAAACAACTCTCTTGAAGATCATAATGGGAATCCTATCCCCTACTAGTGGTATTCGTAGCGTACATCGTGGTTTGAAGTTCGGTTACTTCTCACAGCATCACGTGGACCAGCTCGAGATGAACGTCAACTCAGTGGAACTATTGCAGAAGAGTTACCCAGGTGAGCTATTTAATTCTATTTGTAAATGCTTGCAAATCCATATAAAAATAGTTTTTTTTAGCGTTAATTAGTAACGTAAAGAAAAACTATCTCATCTTCTCCTTCCACTCACCCTTTGTACATCGACGTCATTGAGTAACGAAAATCATTCTATCTCTTTTTTATCTGTTTCTTTCTAACACATCATTAGTGACTTTTTCATTACATTTTGTTTACATTCATTATGAAATTATTTCCATAACAATAATATTTGTTGAAAATTCTTGCTATATATTATTTCTATTTATATAAAATAGGTAAAACTGTAGAGGAATATAGAAGACAGTTGGGTAGTTTCGGTGTGAGCGGTGATCTAGCTCTGCAGACTATCGGTAGTCTCTCTGGAGGTCAAAAGTCAAGGGTCGCCTTCGCAAGGATGTGTATGGGCAACCCTAACTTCCTGGTACTCGATGAACCTACGAATCACTTGGACATCGAAACTATTGAGGCTTTAGGGAAGGGGATTAATAAGTATACTGTAAGTTGTGTTTGAATTACTTTGAAACTATTATTCAACTGTGAATTAATTTTAATTTATATCAGAACTTCTCTTCTTATGTATATTTTAAGTAGAACAGTTATTTATATCGTTGAAGGTTGTTACATAATGACAATCCAAAAAGTTGTTGGTAATTGTTCAATTTTTTTATATTACAAAATCCGTCTCTATAGTTTTGTTATTGATAAATGGAGATTGATATTTAACATTTCTATAGAAGTTCTCAAAAAATCTGCTTATGATTTTCAGCTTTCAATAATATATTTTTATCTTGAACTGTTAACATAAATACTAATGAGTAAATTCATTGGATATTGCAGTGCACGATCTAGTTTTTCTTTAATTTTTTTCTTTTATTTAAAAGTCATTTCGTTCTGAGAGTAGTTCATAAATGTTAATGTTAGGGCGGAGTCATACTGGTCTCTCACGACGAGCGTCTCATCCGTATGGTGTGTCGCGAGCTTTGGGTGTGCGGCGGAGGAAGTGTTACCAGCATCGAGGGAGGCTTCGACGAGTACAGGAAAATAGTAGAAAGGGAACTACTCGAAGCCAATAAATAATAATATAAAAAATAAAACACTTATTTATCCATCTTGTTTTATTACCATACCTCTTCTCAATAATGATAATTCCACAATGAATTATGCACGCAGATACCATGGCAAATTATATGTATAAAATTAAATTATATTTACAAACTAAACCTTGATATATAATATACAATTAAAATAGTGACTGAAGTTAACTGAATGGTTAAAGTATAAAACGCATTCTGTTGAAAATAAATCAAATCATAAAAATTAAAATGCTGCGTATTATGACATTCAAATTAAGCGATTATATAATTTTGTGTATATAAATGCATGAATAAATTTTACGTTACTCTATTTCTTCATGTCGGAGGGTAGAAATATATTTAGGGGGGTATAAATATTATAAATAGCATAATATGGAATTGATTATTTATCATGGGCTGATAGAAGTTATATGAATAAATAATGGATACATACTACATATCGGTACATATGTATATGGCAACCAATAATGATTTGTGGTAAAAAAATAAGTAACGCTAGCAGATCACAAAACCTTTAAAATTAAACGATGTCCAGTTGGCAAAGACAAATGGCGGTTGATCACTCGTCTCTTGCTCTTGCAAGAGGGGGTCGTAGGATAAAAATATTCGATTACTGGTGTTTCTTGCGCCTATTTTTAGTCTTATCAGCGTTTCTTAATACTTCAGCATAGGACAGCTCCAATTTTCGGAGCTTATGTATCTCCTGAGAAGCAGTGCTTTGTTTTATATCCCAAGAGTCAGTTTCAGAATTCCAGCTTTGATATATCTTTCCCGTCCGGCCGCTAACGCTCGGAGTTGGGGAACTTATATTTTTGTTGTAGAATTGTAGAGTCGATCCGTTCCATTCAGCTTCTGAAGTTCTAACGAGTGGGCTGATTTCTATAGGCCTGTAGTCTCTCCTCTTCTTGTTTGCCGATTTCTGGTATATAATTTTAGGTGGAGATGGAAACACGGGGGAGTCAGCTCCCTGACGATCCTGACTGTGCTTGCGGTTGCGATGTCTGGACTTCTTTCTAGTAGCCGCTATGTACTCCAATGGTTGACGAACCAGCGGTGTTAGTACTCGTTCTTTCTCTTTCTCTTTCTCCTTTTCCTTCTCATTTTCCTTTTCTTTTACTTGATTAGTTTCTTTTTGTTTTCCGTTGGTGCTATCATCCATGGGTTTGTTCTCTTTCGCGTCTTCTACGTGATTTTGTTTCTCTTGTTTTTTGCTAGGTTCCGGAAGTGGGTCTTCCTTTTCTTTTAGAGTTGGTGTTTCTGGAGCAGTTATGTCAGATACTGGAATCGATTGTTCGGACATCACAGACGACAATACACTTTGGGTGTCATCGGTAAAGTTGCCGGGAGGTTCTTCAGTGGCAGGCGTCACAGGTGGTACTTTTCCGCTGACTGTATCATCTAGGAGTGGTAGCTGTTCTCCATCGTCTTTGTTTTCGGCTGCCTTTTTCAGAATAGTAAATATTTCTTTGAAAAGGACACGGTATTCTGGTCTGTTTCGGAAGCGACTATCCATCGGACTAGCATCGTCGTAAATGCTAAAGCGATAATCTTCTCCGTCCGCGATAGTGCACAGGAACGAACCAGGTCTTTCACGTTCAGTTTGAGTTGCTTTATTACTAGTTTCATCTGAGAAGCCTGAGCTTGATGTTTCGGCTTCAGAAAAGTCTGGGGTTTGAATTATCTTCTTGCGAGATGTTGGCTCAACTTTCTTTTGTTGATTATCTTTTTGGGCCTCCTCACCATGCCCGCTTTCTTCGTCGGTATCTTTAACACTGAATTGGCTAAAATCGCCTGAAGTTTGTAATTCGTCTTGAAGAGACACGGGGCCAGACTGAGTTTGTGCGTTCGGCAATGTGTTTGGTTTCTTCTTTATATTCTTTCCCTGTGATAGTTGTACCTCAAGCAAAGCCTCGTACTTCTGTACTAAGTCTCTGTACGGATTGTCGTGGCCATCTTCCTTATTCGCCCAAATACCTTGGAGTAATTTCTCCTTAGCATTCTGTAATGTAATAATAGTCGTTAGGTATGCGCCTTTCTTTTAACGTAGAAAAGAAATGTTAAACAGAAAATACAAATTACTTGGATTTTTAATATGAAATGTAGTTAAAAAATGATATTATATGATTGTTGCAAATTATATTTTTAAATAGTATTTTAAAATAAAAAAAGTTATTTGAAAAAAATAATAAGAAACAAAATAAATAAGCATGGAAATGAAAAAATGAATGATATTTAATATTTGTATTTTAGGTACAGAAAGTATAAATATTAATAAATAGTCAAAAATACACCCATTACTCCACAAATGCAGATTAACAATTAATAACAAAATAGCCGATAAAAGCACACGTTTACGAGATATGCACACAGTATTATTTACTAAAATAGTTATTAGTAACACTTATTGTATGAATAATTAGTAACTCGTTAGCTAACAACGTCGTTATGAATGATATCAGGTAAAAACTTCTTTTCCTTGAACACAACCCGTTTGATGATCTGAACGTCAACCTTCACCAATGAATCTATTGTTTGTTAGCGTGCATTCTCTTAGACTAAAAACGTGTCAGTAATGGACATACCTTCGACTACATGCGATATATCCAAAGAAAACTACTGCATATGCGCTTCATAATGCAAATGCAAAGCGTGATCAACAACATCAGGGGCAGTTGGAAAAGTTTTGTCGCCTAGAAACGATCAAAACATTGATATAAGTTTCAAGGGGGAGATACCTACCGATCGCTCCAATTACGAACAAAATTGCTTACTATAACCACCTGGATGGACCTCTCCTAAATTTAGTTATCCTCGAATCACGGTTAGTATAGTTGTTATTGCTCGTAGAAGCGAAATATTGTGTTAATAAGGTTAAGTTAGACTAACTAAAATACTAAGACAAGAAACTATAGTTAAGTAACAGAGACTAAGCAGAAAAAATAATAAGGGTTAGAGACAGAGCATGCGAAAATCGAAATAACGTACATCAAACTTGACGAGTTTACTGGAAACATGGTCGTCTCTTGGGCTTTGTTGACCGGGAGTGAGGTTGAGGGAACTAATGGCGCTTCTGTCATCATCTTCACCATCCAGTATAGACGACATGTCATCCCGCTCCATGCCTCTCAGACACCTGATGCATAGTTGTCCTTGTCTACAAAAAAAGGGATTTTAATGTTTCATCCCTGCAAATTGATATGGAAATACATTTAATATTTTTCTCTCTCTTCGCTTACCTAACTTCTTCAAGGATCGAGAATTCTTCATGCATTGATTTAGGCTCATCATCCTTAAGGTTCCAGTTTCTTAACTGTTCTTGCAGCCTGTTGTTCTCTTGTATCACCGATGCCAACTGTTCCTCAAGCTCTGTAACCCTCCTGTGTTCTTGGGCAAAGGCCACTTTATTTTCCCTTAACTCATCACTTAATCTCAACAAATCCTCATCCTCTTTTGTCAGTTCTGGGAGCGGAGCAATTTTTTGTGGTGTAACAGCTGGAAGTTTCGACGGAGTTGCATTCTGTTTTGCATTTTCAGTTGTTTTTTGTTCTTTTTCTTTGGGTTTTTCAATGGTTTCTGGCTTACGTTCTGCACGCCGTTTTACGATTTCTAATTGCGCATTAAGATCGTCCACGGTTTTTTGGAATTCTTCACACTTGGTTTCCAAGGTTTCGATGGTGTTGCATAAGCTGGTATGTAAATTTTTGTGTTAATTTGTTAATTAAACAGAAATAAAAAAAATGTATTTAAAATAAAATAAAATTATAAACTCACGTTTTAATGTGTTTTTTATCGGCAGCATGATCAACAGCGAGCCTGTGGTTAGCTCGTTCTAAATCTTGGATGCTAACTTCAAGTTGTTCATAGATTCTCAGTCTTGAGTCGTTTACTTCACGCAACGCAACAGTTTGCTTTGTAAGGTACTGTAATCAATCAAAATTAAACTCATTAGAACATAAAACACAATAATTATTATTATATTCTTTTTTATATTCAACATACTTCGATTTCCTGCGTTTGATCTTCGATTACATTTTGGTGTTGACGAAGAGCAGTTTCCAACTCCTTATTTCGTTCCAACAAAGTCTTCCCTAGTTCAGCCGCGAGCTGCAGATCTGTAGAAGATGAAACTCCTTTTAGTTAAGAGAAACTTGGAAAGTGTTATGCAAATGTAAAGAAAGCTAAGCGGACATGATGGAACAGAACTGACACTGCAATTATCTGATCGGATCGTCGCGTCAGACCGCTATCGTAGTCACAGAATAACGACTGAGAATGCCATGTTTGGCATCATCATTAAGTTCGCGGTTTTCTAAGATAAGATTCCTTTGATATTATACTCATTAAAATCAAGTGGATGGTCATTTCAGGTATAGTTGTTAGTAACAAAAACATTCTAACAGGATTAAAAAAATCACAAAACTTGTTTCAAATATTCATAATAATAATTTTATTAGTGATTATGTTTTTCAATTGCCGTCTACATATATTTTTTGTGCAATACATATTTATATTTCGCACGTACTAATGACGTTTTATATCTCAACCAAAACAAGCACAAAAAATAATAATTGATTACGTTTAAAATAATAAATGGTTTTAAATGCCTTTGAAGAGCTCTTCTTAAATATTAAAATACATATATCAATGGAAATGTTTTTTGGTATATTTGTTTATACAACTATATCCGTGGTCTGAAAGCCGCAAGACCGCGACTCCATTGCGTCATTTGGAAGCAAAAATCATAATTAACCGCTAGGTATCGCAATGTAAGTCGTCACGTGTTCTACTTTAGCTATAGTAATGACACATCGCAGCGCCATGTCACCTCTGGTACAAAAGCCGGCTCTCGTGAAAGGCGAATACCGAAACGACAACCTTGTTTTCATTTTGCATTCATCAGTAAGGCTTAAAAAGCATTTTAAGTACCAAGCAAACTTCTATTACATTACTATAGGCATATGAATATAGAAAAAAATATTTATGGAGGTATATTCGCTGGTTTTGCCCTTAATAGTCGATAACGAATGAGAAATGTATGCAACATTTCAATGTGATATTGTTTCTTAATTGAAATTCCGGTCACAAACACAGCAAACACAATTATTTACATGTAATATATACCTAGTTAATAAATAATAACAAATGTATGAGATAAAATGGACTTTACATAGTCATACCACATAATAAAGCAACAAATTAGATAAATATAACTTCATTAGATTAATGGTAGAAACTATAGTTTCTTTTATGATGGACGAACAATAGAAATGTAAAAATTTTATCAGTTGTATGAACGGTTTGAAATCGAGGTACTTTCACGACGCTTTTGCGGATTAAAAAGTAGGCACATTCTTTAATATCGGAGTACGATAACTATTGCTGATTGTGACATTTTTTTTTGTTAAATCCAAAAACTTTGTTTTTGCTACTTAAATTAGTTAGTGTATGTATATTTGAAATAAGTCCCGAATTATGGTCTCGGTAGCATAAACTAATACGGAAAATTGAGAAAATAGGAAGTTATCACGACTTATATGTATTTGAAATTAATATATAAATACATTATTATAGTTGTAGGTATCAAAGTTCATAAGTCTGTTACTTAATAGTTATGTTATAAGGTCATGTCGTCTACAGCTAAGTCTCTAAGTCGAATTCATTTACAATACAATGCATCACCTTTGACTTATTTCGTATTTAATACAACTATTAAAAACCTAATATAACCTAATGTAAAAAATATTAAATAATTATTGTAGAAATATTTAAAACCTCTACCTTGACTGTAGTGATTCATATCTTTGTTTAACATCCTGTTATCTAAGTAAACATCGTATTCATGCATTTTTTTTATAACTTGTAAAGATTTATTTCTAATTAAGTATTATAAATTCTATGTTCTATAAATTCTCTGGAAATTTTCCCAGCTTTAGCCAGGGTCTGCCTTACATCTTGTGAATAGTTGTGGCTAATTGTTTTTACGACCGGCCGCCTGCCTGACAGCAACCCTCTTTGGGAATGCAATAATCAATGATGTCTAAATTTGGAAAAATCACATTGGTACTTGCTGGGATCGAACTCGCGCCCTCATGCATGAGAGGCGGGCCTTTTAACCACTAGGCCACCATCTATGAGTTACCATACTATCAGTTCAAATAAGATTTTAGTATACAGTCAGAGTAATAATATGTATCTAAAACGACGTTAAATATAAATTATAACAGCATAAATGTTATAAATGAAAAATTCCTAAACCGCCACATTAATTGATGTCGTTCCAACATTAGTCTAAAGTATTTTAATTACCCTATTAGTTAATGTAACAATCAATCAACATACCATATTTCTAATTGATTTGTGATGTATATAAAATTTTGAATTTTAAATAGAACTCCAATTGAAATATTCTTCAACTTTAAGTTAGTAAATGAAACTTTTGATAATAAACTACAGGTTTGCCCGTGATCACGGTTGCTGTAAAATAACCGAAACGTTGGGAATATGTAGTTTATAATCAAAAATAAAAAATAACGTAGTACATCCGAAAATATTCGTTTCATTTAAATGAATAGTCGCGAAAATATTAGATCTCATTTAAGTTAGTATTATAGTATTGTTTTAAAGTATCTTACATGGTATTTATTCATTGAATCGATTGTTTTCTAAAAATAGACCAAATGAATTCTTAAGCAATTTCTACTTGAACCTCGTCAGCAGAAAATTATAACAAGGTTGAAACAAATCAACAGCGATAAATAATGAAACAGAATATGATCACGGCTTTTAATAATATTAGTCATTATTAAAATGCATATAGTAATATTAATTGTAGCGATAATTATTGGACAAACCAAGAAATTACAGTTTTCAATTTTTGTTTTTCATCAAAAAATAATAGTATTTCTGCGTATTGTCATACGTAAACAATAGTAATTTTTTCGTTAATTTGTATCAGTGTGTATGTTCGTTCATGTGTAACTTTTTAGTGTAAAAATTATATAACTAATTTGAAGAAAAAATCGAATGCAACCAAGTCAGTGTTTAAACAATGTAACAAGTTATATCTCAATAAAATAAAATTGTAATTATTTTAACGATGTTAAGTCAATAGTTATGAAAGAAAATAATTATTTGGCACGCTTACGTGAATGTCTTCATCGGTTAACTAATATAAATAAAAGTTTAACGGCTCGTTAATATATTTTTTAACTTACTTGAGCGCAATTTACATCTATGAAGCAATATACACGGAAATGAACTAGAAGGTTGTTCGTAATATCAAAGTTCTTACACATTACAAGCATTTTGCGTGAAGATAAAAAAATGAGGTAAAAATGTAAAATGAATGGAACAATGGTATTATTATCGATAGATTACAGAAAGATTACTGGCTATCGCATATAATTTTGTAGCAGTTTATCTATAACATAATAATGATATACTCAACGTCTGCTGAAAGAAATAGTATAATTAAATAGTTATTCTGTACGAAGATTACGTAAAAAAAATATATTTTTATGATACAAATTGATCGACAGCATGTAGATTTTTTCTAGAGAGTAAACCGATTAACTTCATTATAAACACTAAGCGTTATTATGCATTTGAAAATGCTACATACAATTTTCACGGTTTTTAGAGAATTCAATTAGTTTTTAAATACAATACCAACTCATTAAAATAGTAATAAATGCAAAATGGTAATTTTAAATCAGTGAATTAGTGTTGAATATTACATTCTACTCCGTAGTTTTAACATTTCGTGCATTACAAATTGGTCAGAACAACGTCTACAGCGCCCCTCTCCTTTACGAAACACTAACCTTCGGTGCCTTGCAGACACTCAAGTTCCACGGTATAATCCCATAAATCCAGGGAATTCAGTCCGTTCAGCTCCCAAGAATTGAAAGACTCGCATTCATGTTCCTCTGTCATCCTTTACAATGGTGAAATTACACAAAACAATTTTATAACGCAGCCATATTTTTACCACCAAAATCGGTAGCGCGTCTGCAGCGCGAGCACCGTGGTAGCGCAAAACCAACTGAACGCCGAGTCCAAGTATATCCAACTGCAATTAATTTCGACGCCATCACCGGTCCCCAATCGCATTCAAGATCATTATATTCAACGGCAGTAGGAAATTAACAGAGATTATGATTTTGTTGTTTATAAAATTTTTGTTGTAGAGAAAGTCGCGATCAATCAATCTGTGATATACACGATGTTGTGATAGCTGCTATTAAAACGTGGATCCTAATCTCGTTTTCACACGCTTCATGGAACATGGTTATCTGAGTTACATCCGCGGTATTTTTAATGTGATATAATTTAAACATTACAAAATTTTGATTTCATTTAGATCTGTTTCTTTTTTTTTTGTAAATTTATTAACTTTAATGTGATGTTCTAAACTTTATCTTTTTTCTTATCATCGAATGATTGCTGCTTAACATTAAGGTGATGTTGTGAACTGATAAATCATATAAATAAAAAACCCATTATTTATTACATATTTTACAGATTGGTTGTTTATATTAGCAAATAAAAATTTATTAAATTTATTTACCTTATTGGTTTAATGCGTAAATATATATATGCTTAAACTTATATGTCGGTGTAACAAAAACACGAAAAGATATATAAAAACATACACAGGTTTCTCAAGTCCAATACTGAGCAGTGTAACTCAAAATACAATTACAAAGGTAACCGACCGGTCTCTGACTTGAAGGCTTTCGCGTTAATTACGCTCCAACATTTTGGTTGTAACAAAATATATAGAGGTTGTATTTAAATTGATAGAATGACTAGAGATTTTAAACTGCATCATAAAAAAATATATTCCAATTATTATTTGAACGTATCCAAGAAAGATGTTTGTAGCGAAATATAAGTTTGTATATGATAATGAGTCCACTCTGTACAAATACCTAATTGTGTTCTAGAAAATGCTTTATTAATTATTTATTTATTGATAAGTAAAATTAATTAAAGGGCATTATGAACGATACGAAGACTAATATGTCACCCCATTTATTTATCAATATCAATTGCGTAATTATATTGCTTTTTTAAAAGTGATCTTACACAAATACCACATGTATGTACATCTATTGCTTGTCTGAAAATGTTAAAACAGCAGTTAATTAAAGGTTATTGCTCATTACTTTTTTTTTTGGGTGCATCCTCAAGAGGAGTTTGCATGGTCATTTTTAGCACTAAGATTTTATTTTCATCATTTTTAGAAACTTATATGTATAATTATAAAGAAAAACTGTTAGCTCTTAAATTAAAAATTAACCTGTTAATATAGCTTCACTACTTATTATTAGTTACGAACAAAAAATAAGTGACGTGTTGCATTACGAGTTTAATTAAAGTAACTTTTTACTTTAAATATATGTTACATGATAAACAATTGAATAATGCATAATTACATAAAACATTCTAATTCTATCAAACTGAGGAAGGTACTGCGATTACTGTAACTATTTTAAATACAAGGTTACACTTATTGTTGGTTAAGACTAGGGTTTGCAATTTTCAAGTGTTTTTGACCTTGGGTCTCTTATTCGGATAGAAACTGATTTGAAACAATATATATATGATAGAGGAAATAAAACAATTACAATTAAGGAATTTATACTTAAGATATAAAAATATAAAGAACATGATGCTTTAGAGGAGTAAATAGTATTAAGTTATAGTGAGCTGAAAAGATAGATAAAAAGAAAGAACAAAAGAAGAATACTAGATATAAATGATGACGCCAATACTTTTACTAAAGTTAAAATTCTCATTGAAAAATATTAATGCTTTTATAATAATAGTATCATCTAGATGGAGAAGGATAAGATCTACTTACTATGAAGTTTTTTAGACTAGAGTTATTTTTTGGTATTTACTGTATTTTTTTTAATAATCAGCAAATTAAATCACTACTTTAGCGAGATGCTTCAAAAATAACCATTTGTATCTTATAATAAAATAACATATAATATAATTATATAAATGTCATATTCATAAGTATTATACGATTTAATTTAGGCTGTACGTGCACTTAGATGTCTACTGCTCCGCAACTCGTAACAGAATCCCCAGTCTAGCACTTGCATCCTATTTATAATTTTCAAAGTTAACATATTTAGGTGAGGGTAAGTTAGAGTAAGTATCATACAAAGGGCGCTAGTTGACTATTATAATAATTCCCAATTACGAGTAACATAAGAGTATGAGTAACTTTAAACTTAGACTTATAAAGTTCATCACAATTTAAATAATTATTACTAAAAGTATATTAATGTACACCATATAGTCTAAATTTACTTTTCTTGTTTCGTAAAAATAAAACAAATAGCATTTTTTTTATTGAAAAGACATTGATAACGATCCACAATGATTTTTTCTAAATAAACTACCGTTCAGCTTTACGTCATCATTAAGTTTAAATCTGATCATTAGGATCGCCTTCCTCTCTGATTATTATATAAGTTACAATATTATCTATTTTTGATAAAAATAAAAAAAGGACAAGAGGTCCGTTAGAATCACAAATTACAAACAAAATAACGTAAAAAATCGTGAGCGTTCGTAGGGTTATCTGTTATTAGCATAGACAAGAAAAAAATGCAATACATTTCGTTGATATAATCTATATTTAAATCTTGTCTTTCTATCTAATACGAACATGTTACATAAAAATATGTTAGTGTCTTATGCAAATAGTCAAGACTCAAGAGTGTTGATTGAAGAAAGGTTTTAAATAAGGCCTTGGCCACATTTGCAACACCGAAAGTAAAACAACTGGATCATGTGTTTAATGTTTACATATTACATACGTGTTACATCAACACACACACATACTCACACACACAGTTACCAATGGAAGATGTGTTTGTCCTGTTACGTATACAATCATGGTTTAGCATTTTTTAATTAATAATATCCTATTAGCTCTTCCTGTCACAAATTAAAGATTTATAATAATAATTTGACAGTTAGTGGAGTAATGATAACATTTTAATTTATTATTCAACTTCCTACGAAAATTATGAAAATTTGCAGATAGTGTAAAAAAATTATCATTTGATATAAATCGTATAATTTTTGAAAAATTATTTTAAGGTAAAGCTTGCAAAGAAATAGTGGTAAGTTGTGAGTGAAAATAAATCTATATTTTTAATATGTCAGAAATAGTGAGCTGCGATGGAGAAGATTTGGAACAATACATCGGTGATTCAATTACCGGTTACATTACTAACCTACCCAGCTGCGCAATAACTATGCTGCACTTTTGACCTTTTATACCAAATCAAAATCAACATATAATCTAAATGGAGCATATTTATAGCAACATGTTTTTCGCAAAATGAGTGCGCAAGGCGGTCTCGCAAAACAATCTACTACTTTCTAAAACAAATTGATTATACTTTCAACAAATTGCGAGGCTCCCTTGCGCGTGCACAGCAACAAACTCGATTTGACATTTAGGGTTCATTACGACAGAGCTTGAAGATTTGATGGTGTAATTTCACTCTCCAGGAAATTAATCCGTTGAACTCCGTCTTTATTTCCTTGTATATAAGTAAATATATTTTTTATTGAAAATATTAAAGGTAAAACCTTAATTCTGGTAAAATATTTGACTTTTGTAAGTCGATGGTAAGGAATGATTTAATGCTAATTATAAGTAATAGAACTGCCATCTATTACTTAAAGTATTTGTAGATATAATAGAAACATCAATAGATTTTTCAGTCATACTCATACGTTAATAGTGATCAGTATAAACATTGAACACAATACAGAACTAAACAATACTTGTTAGTGTAATAAAATATATTTAAACAACACACTCTTAATACAATACATGTGAATTCTCATCATCATTGGTTATTCATTGCCATGTGTTGCAATCTCGGTTATCAGAGGATATTAATATTCACGGATTTATCTTATCAGCTACTACTGTACTAATTGTGTAATAAAATATATATAACGATTATTGTTATCATTGGAAAGATTGTGTTCTCTACAATATGAGTTATAAAGTAAAAAAATATTTTTATAATTCTTATTTATCATCACAAACTTGTACAGCAAAACTAATATAATTACCTCTATATTTTTCTAAGATCATTGACGTAATTATGTAAGAAATAAGATGTGGCCTTGGTTCTTCTAGACGGTACAAAGTACACTGACATCTAATTAACAGGCCATTAATTTGACACGCGTGCATGCGAAGCAATTGAAAATATAAATAAATATGCGTTAGAAAATGGTATATATACCATATGTTTTGAACACTGGTATAAAAAAAGGTATGAAAACCGGACGAGTGGTGCAGTTCAAGGGCAGTTCTACCGGTTTTCTTATAAACCTGTATGCATTAAAATTAAATGGTAATCACTAAACCGTATTAAGCGTCGTTTGACCATGCAAAATGAAAGTAATGAAATGTTTATTTAACACAATTTATAAGATTAAAATGTCACTGTTACGTAAAAAAAATATTTAAAAAGAAATATCTTTAGTTGTTAGATAAGGCTGAGTCACAGAAATCAAAAGCTATTTCAAACTATTCAGTAACGGGTTGGTCCGGCAATAAAAGTTGAACGCACCCACTCCTAACTATTACATAGTTTGTAAGTAACTTTAAAATGTTCTGATATCATTTAAAAGAAAATATTTTTGTATTAAAAACTCACACTAGTACTTTCGAAAATTAAAATATAACATTATATAATTCTACATTGCCGATGTATTTGCCTAGTCATTAAACACATCGTATAGTTAAATTACAATATTTCTCAAAAACCCAAATCGTATATATAAGTACAGTTTTATTTATATACTAAAATAAAACATTTTAACTTTTCTTAAGCCCAGAGTATTCTGATTTAGTTTTAACAAACCAGAAGCTTATGAGA